AGACAGAGTGGAACTGCCCCCCAGGGTTTCCAAAGCTTCTTCATAGAAGCAGACTCCTTTGGCGTGACTGCTGGGTTTGAATTGCTGAACTTTTAGTTAGAAGCTCTGCTCTTTAACCATTGCACCACTAGAGTTCTTTCCCAAGGAAATTATCAGCAAGTTATTTTCCTCTTGAATGTATGCTCATAATGTGGCTTTGCCCTCATTCACCTGATATTTCCATGAGGGAAAATTATCTGGAACATAGGTGCTCAACAAGTATTGTTAGGTTTAATTGAAAAGAAAAAAACCCAAAAACTCTTAAACTGAGTTAAGCTTGAAGTCTCAGTGAAATCTTGGTGGCACCAGGTGGTGGGGTTGAAATTTGGGACAAGACAGCCCCGATAGGACTATTGTAGATAAGAATCCATGGCTATAGGCCACAGGCAAAAGCAGGAATCAATTCATTTCTTTCCAAGAGAAAAACCAGCTGGCTTCCTGGGTGAGCACTCCTTGGACGGGCCTCTTTCAGGCCTGGCTGGGTTCGGAGCTCTTAGGTTAAGAGATTCAATTTCATTAGCTTACCCAGGGGTGACGAGGCTCTGGAAATCAACCAAGCAAGCTACTGATTGATAAGCCAGATCAGCAATTTATTAACTTACACAGGCAGCTGTGATCACTAAGCAGCCTTAGCATCAAGATGGCCCTTCTGCTTGCTTCTAACTGTTGTTGTTATTAGGTGATATCAAGTCGCCTGTGACTCATAGCAACCCTATGTACAACAGCTCTGAAGCACACCCTGTCCTGAGCCAGATTCACTGACTCTAGCGCACCTACCCACATTGCCCCATTCACTGTATCAATCCCTCTCATCCGAGGTCTTCCTCTCCTGCGCTGCCCCTCCACCCTTCTGAGCACGATGTCCTTCTCTAAGGACTGGTCCCTCCTGGCCATGTGCCCAACGTATGTGAGAAGGAGCTTCAATATCCTAGCCTCCAAGAAGAAATTTGGTTTCACCCTCTCCAAGACAGAACTATTTCTTTTCTTTGCAATCCATGGTATGTTCAAGACTCTTCTCCAGCACCACAACTCAAAGGCATCTTCTTCTGCCATTCTTAGTCACTGAAGGATAATTTATCTGGGAAAACAAATCCATGTCAGAGGGGAATGAGTAGAATGGAAGAAAAATCAGCAGAGGATCATTATAGTTGGTACTGTCATGGTTAAGCCTCACAACCACACAATGGGTGGAAATCATCACTAACCCATTTTGCTGATGAGCAAACTGAGGTCAAGTAGGTGGCTTGGCTACTGAATGATGGAACTGGGACTCAAAACCAGGCTTCGAAACTCCAGTTCCACGCTTCTGTATGCCCTTCCCTCAATACAGCTGAGTTCAGAAAGTCTGATGCACCCCATGACCCCGCAGACACCAAGCCCGGACTGCAGCTTCATTCTCTGGTTTCTCTCAGACCCAGATTCTCCAGCTAGGGCTGCATAGCTGCCCCTAGTAACGCCACAGCCTCCCTGGTGAGGTGCAGGAGACACCTGAGTCCCATCAGCAATGGCTGCAGGTCCCCAGAGGGCACCTCTCTGTTGCAGATGAGAACAATAAAACCACATTAATAGCCACCATTCATTAGAGGCTTGCCATGTGTCAGGCACTGTGCCAGTCGCTTTGCATGCATAATCTCTCTCAAAACAACCTCATGAGACAGGCACTATCATCTCCCTTTTACAGATACGGACTCACAAGCTCAAAAAACCTAAGTTTCTCGCTCAAGTTCATACAGCAGAGGAGCTGGGACCGGCAGTTTCATTCCAAGCTCACATTCATTACCATCCCCCTTCCGCCATACCTTAAAGGCAGCCATGTCTTGAAGTCCCACATGCTGGAGTCTCTGGCTCCCTGTGCACTGGGGACATTGGCACTGAGGCAGGGGTTTCCCCAGGCTTCCCTGGAGCTGCATCTAAGCAGTTCTAAGGAGTCTGGGATCCAGGAATCAAGGAGTCAGGGCCTAGGGTGAAGAAAAAGAAGCTGATGATATCTTCAACATACAGGGTAAAGTGCAAGCTGTAAGGCCAGGCTCCAGCCTCATCCTCTCTCTGCCTCTATCCTCTATTCCTTCCCTACTCCCATTTCTCTTGTCAGTTTGACCTCCTGAATCTTCACCTCATACCCCTCAGTCTGCCAAACTCCTACTCATCCTTCAAGCACCAAGGAAAAGGCCACCGCTGCTGGGATCCCGTCCTCCTGCACAATCAGGAGCTCCCTCCTCAACAGCCCTTATGCCACGATTAAGGCATTTCTCCAGCTTTAGAAATATTCCACTGTGCTCTGGTGGCACAGTGGTTAGTATTTGGTTGCTAACTCAAAATTAAGTGGTTTGAATCCACTAGCCTGTCCAGAGAGAAGGTAACGACAGTCTGCTCCCATGGTGTGTAACCTTGGAGACCCTTTAAGCCATTTTACTCTGCCCTCTACCTTCGCTTTAAAGTGCTAAAGAGCAAGGTTGTCCATTTAAAGATTAAGGACCATTTGATCCAAGCCATAATATTGTCAATTGCTTTGTATGCATCTGAAAGTTGGACAATAAGAATGACTGAAGAATCAATTCCTTTGAACTGTGGTATTGGAGGAGAGTATTGAATATCCCACGGATTTCCAAAAGAACAAACAAATCAGTCTTGAAGGAAGTGCAACCAGGGTGCTTGTTAGAGGCAAGGACGATAAAACTTCATCTCACACACTTGTGGCATGTTGTCAGGAGGGTGTAGTCCTTGGAAAAAGACATCATACTGGGAAAGGTAGAGGGTCAGTGGAAGACAGGAAGGCCCTCACCGAAATGGAGTGGCCCAGTGACTGTAACAGTGGGCTCAAGCGTATCAGAGATCATGAGGATGGCACAGGATAAGCCAAGGTTCCCAGGGTCACAACGAGTCAGAATTGACTCCGTGGCAACAGGTTTGGATTTTTTGCTTGGTTTTTAATTTCCCACTAAGCTCTCTGGTTGTGTTACCCACAGGTAGTTGTGCTATTAACCCAAAGGCCCCACACCTCTCTGATGATTCCAATCCACTAACAGGTCTGAGAGAGAAAGATGGGCAACCTCCTCCCATGTGATTTGCAGCATCCAAAACTGAATGGAGGGTCAGCTCTGATTCAATTCTGACTCAATGGCAATAATGAGATGAGTGAAGCTCTGTTTAGGAAGCTCTGGTGGCAGAGCCCGCAGCGAGCTGCACTGTTAGCCAAAGGCTGCAGGTCTCCAGTGGTTCAAATACACCTGCTGTTCTGAGGAAGGAAGGTGAGCAGTCCTCCCAATTCAACTTATAGCCTCAGAACCCACTGGAGAGTTGCTGTGAGTTGGAACTAATTTGATGGCAGTAACTGAGTGGGTGAAACTTTGTTTTGTGTTCCTCCTTGTCTGTTCAGATCTCAACAAGTACCTCACATGCTGCTATTGCTCTCTCCATATTTACTGTGCTGTTTGTTGTTTGTATGTGCTCTCGACTTGCAAGTGACACATAGCTGGTGCTCTGCAAGGTTTTCTGAGACTGTAAATTTCCTGGGAGGCGACTGTCTTCCTCCTTTGTCCTGCCAACCTTCGGGTTGGTGATGCAACTCCAAACCTAGTAGGGCCTCAGTTGCTGCTGCTGCTGCTGCTGCTGCTGTTATTGTTGAGTGCCAGTGAGTCGAAATCAACTTGCAGCAGACCCTCTGGTGGGTTTTCAGAGGCTGTAAATCGCATGGGAGGAGATTGCCAATCTTCCTTTCTCAGAGCAGCTAGTGGATTCAAACCACTGCCTCTGAGCTGGCAGTGCTGCTCCTTACCCACTAGGCCACCAGAGCACCATGCATTTACTGTTAGATGAGCAATTTCAGAGGATCCATGGAGTGCAGGTCTTCACACGCATGAGTGGATTGATTAAAAACATTCCGATCTGTGTGGAGAAGAGGCTCATAACCTTTCAGACAAGTGAATGTTTGGCGTCTCTCTCCAGGAATGAGCCTGCCAGTTTGCATGCTTCTTCAAGGAGTCTCTGTTCCCTAGGCTTGGACCCCACACGAAAGCTGCGTGGGTGGTTAGGAGCCAGCGTAGACAATAGCAGAGACTTGGGGGAGGGTCAGAGCGGTGGCGGACAAAGTATCATCTCTAAGGGAATAACTGTTTGTGATCCATTATGCCAACCCCTGGAAAGAGCCTGTGTCTGTGTCTGGGGAAGAGCCCAGTAACCCTGTATGGCGCCCTTGCTGCTCATAAACAGCAGAGCAAAATGGTTGTGTGTAAGGGCATTGGCCTAGCAAGGCAACTCCTCACAGACTGCGCCACCAGAGTGTCCTAAGCATGGCAGTTTTGGAACTGGCCTATTGGCCAATTCAACATACCTTTAATACTTCTTAGCTGTACAACCTTGGGCAAGTGGCTTAGCATCTCTGGACCTCCTTTCCTCCAGGAATAGTATAACCAGCACTTGACAGGGATGTTAATAAAACTAGATGGGCTGACACAGACAAAACGTCTGAATAAGGGGCACATAACCAACACTCAGTCCACACCACTGGCTGGAAAAAGTGTTTGTCATACCCTAAGGGAATGACAGGTAGACTAAGCCTTCCCTTGAAGGTCCCTTCCTCCAGGAAGCCTTCCTTAACTTGGGTAGGTCAGGCTCCTTCCTTGTTATCAGCCTCCTGTGGGCTGTGGTAACGCTCATCACACTTACAACTGTTTCCCCACTGGACTGAGCCTTGTGAGGGCAGAGATCCACCTCTCCTGCTTGCTGCTCCATCTTCGTACCTGGAATGTCATAGATGTTCAGTAAATAAATGCCAGATTGAACTGGGGAGGGAAGTGCTGGGAAAATTCCAGATTCCAGTTGTCAACAGCAGGTCACTGACCAAGCAGTCAGGCAGTAGATGGCTACAAAATTGGGGTGGGTTAGGGTGGAGATGATGGACCCTCCTTCACCAGTGTCACTGGGACTGGACCTCCTGACCCCTCTTTCTGCTTCTCCCCCAGTTCCTGGCATTTGACACTCAGTTGCTGATGGGTAACCGCCGCCACTCGCTGAGCCCCGAGGAGTATATTTTTGGAGCTCTCAACATTTATCTGGACATCATCTATATCTTCACCTTCTTCCTGCAGATTTTTGGCACTAACCGGGATTGAAAAGCCCTCCCACCCCTGACTTCCTCCAAAGAATGCTTCCTTCCTGCTCCTCTGACCCTCCCTGTGCTCTTGCAAACCCAAATGTCAAACTAGCTGCGGCCCAACCCTCAGCCAGCACTCACCCCCATAGCACCCCCCTCACTCTGCAGCTTGTACATTCGCACAGGGGCCCTGAAGGGTCACATCAACCTCTGACCTTCTCCCCACCCCCACCCTGAATTACATCTCCTGATCCAGGACTGTCAAAGCTGGCGACTCCCTTGTCATCTCTGAGTTTGAGGACCGCAGTGTGTGTTTAGGGGGAGCCTGAAAGAATTGCTGATGTAGGAAAGAGACCCCAGGAAGCTGGCTGAGACTTCCATCCCCACTAGGATCCTTCTCAAGGTGACCTTGGGGTAGACTGTCCTGTGTCGGTCCACTTCCTCCCTTTTCTCTCTGCAAAGCCAGACAGAAAGGCTTTGTAAGGAAGAGGGCATGTCTGGGAGAACAGGGAGGGTGCTCGTGGGGGAAAGATTAGAGACACAGGGAGGTGACAAATGGCTGCCCCAGCCTGCTCCCCCTCTGCCAGCTCTAACAAAAGAGGGCAAGAAGTCAGTGCCACCTGTTTGCCTTGGTTTACCCTCCTTGGTCAGACACAATACATTTGAGGCAAGAGGTGGGGACAGACAAGCCTCCTCCTAAGTGGGGGTCTGGCCTGAGCTTCTGAGAAGGCCTTGGGGTGGCAGGAGTGAGCCCAGCATCCTTCCACGCTCTTTTTTTAAACTCCATTCACCCTCCCTGTCCTCCTGTGCCCGTATCCTGAGGCTGAATGAGTGGTGCTTAGCCCCTCAAGTCTGAGTGTTCCTAGGGTGATACCATGTTATCTTCTGGGTCACCCCATCTGGAGGGCACCCTGTCATGCCCACACGCCTCCCAAAATTGTGCTCTACCCTCTCTGCTGGTCTTATTTCCTGAACCTTCCCCCACCTGCTGCCACTTGTTGGCTGCTCCCCTACCAGGCCTTCTGAGGCCTCACTTGGCAGTGCTCACCACCCCCCACCCCCAGTTTTCCTGGTCACTCAGCCCAGAATCCTTAAACCTCCTCCTCTCCTTATCTCCTCATCTCTCAGTTTGGAAGCTGACCAGTGATATTAACAGAAAGGGCCAGTCCCTCCAGCTGGCCGATTTTGACGAGGCTGGGGTTTCTTATCAGCCTCCAGGTGGCTGGAATCTCAGGCAGAGTGTGCGTCAACCACCCAGCCCTCCAAGGGGTGGTTGTGGGGAGGATTCAGGGGGCCACATGTGCAGCCAGCTCCAGGCCAGTGGAAAGTTACTGGGTGGAGACAGGGAATCTTCCAGCGGAAACGGGGACCCTCCCTCAAGGTTCTTTCTCCTTCCTGTGCTGGGGGCTCTCTTTATCCCTGGGCAGGATGACTGGGTATGTTACCCATCTGCCCCACCCCTTCTATTTTTGACTTGCAAATCATTTGAAATTTTATTCTATCATGGGTATTTGAAGAGAGAAGGCAGCTAGAATGGGAAGGCATGGGGCAGATAGGGTGGTGGGCCCACTGCAACATTCCTGCCATCAGTCCCCTTTTCATGTCCTTTTTCACAATGGAAAAGATGAGGCGCTCAGTTCATCATCTGGGACTCAGTCCTGTGGCTGCCTGACTCAGAGGGCATCTCCCAGAGGCGGTGGGCCTGGAATGAGCTGCTGAAGAGCCAAGAAGAGGGGCAGAATGAGGCCTGGGGGCTCTAGGGTTTGTTCCCAGTGCTGCCCTCGGCCTTAACTCTCCCCTTCCCAGGTTATGCCCTCTGAAGTTTCAATTCTTTGGACATGGGCTAGCAGCCCTCCTGCCCAAGTAGCTAAGTGCTCAGCCACTAACTGAAAGGTCAGAGGTTTGAACCCACCAGCAAAGATGGGAGAAAGATGTGGCAGTCTGCTTCTGCAGAGATTTTTACAGCCTCATGGTCATGTGGGACATCTGCACTTGCACGGTCACTGTGAGGTGGAACTGACGCTAGCAGCGGGCTGGGGTTGGGTTTGTACACAGATGAGGACGGTGCTTCTAGCCCAAAGGCAACGCCTCTTTGCTGATTCAAACGCACCAGCAGCTCCAAGAAAGATGGGCACTCTCCTCCCATGCAAGCTACAGCTTCAAAAACTCCCCGGAGGGTTAGCTATGAGTCAGTCCCAACTCAATAGCAATGACTTTGACTTTTTGACAGTGTAGGAGGCAGGTTTCTGATCCCCGTTCTCGCTGGCAGCAGGCACATGACAAGTGACAGGTGCTTCTCATTCTCTGTGCTTCCACTTACCTGTCAGCCATGGACCACTGTGGCTATGGTGGAAGGGACAAAGGGTGGCACAAGGACACTTATGTCCACTGACTTCCTTGCCCAGTTACCATTTCTCCTGTGACACCCCGTTGGCTTCCCCCTAATCTGGTGGCTTAGTGGTAAGGAATTGCCCTGCCAACCCAAAGGCATGCGGTTTGAATCCACCAGCTCCTCCACAGAGAAAGATAGGCAGTCTCCTCCTATGTGATTTACTGCCTCTGAAAACTTGCTAGAGTGTCAGCTATGAGCAGGCTCTCACTCAGTGGTACATACAACAATCTCTGGGCTCAGTTCTACAGGGCTTACTCGCTTGCACTGCCACGCCCAGCTTGGACCCTGCTCATGCTTCCCAGAATCCAGTTCTCGAAGTCCACCTCTTCCTTGGATAATTTACACAGAAACTGCGGATTGAGAAGCTTGTCCAAGGTTGATCTTCAAAAGCCTGGAGGTGGGGAGAAAAGCAAGTGCTGAGCAATAAACAGCAAGGCTCCACGGCTCCTTGGCAGTGCTGAGAAGTCCAGCTGAGTCAGCTGAAGATGTGCTAGGTCCAGAAAGGGGTCTAGGACACTTCTGGCCTAGCAGCAGAGCCACCTCTGATCTGGGCAGTGAGGAGCAGAAACACCTGAATGGGTCTTGGAAGGCGGAAGGGCTGGGGAACAGGAATGCAGGATTATGAGAAGTCGAAATAGAAGCTGGGCAGGTGCCTGTGGTAGTAAAGGAGGGGAGCTGCTGGCCCCTCACATTTCTGGCAAAGGTGGGGCTAGCTCTGGGAAGGGGTGGATTGGGTTTTATAAAGCTAGAGGCAGCCATGATTTGACTGTGGTGTGATGCCAGTGGTGGGCTGTTGAGGGGTAATCAGAAAAGACCCTCTCCTAGGGGTTGTAGATTGGAAGGAAGCTGGAGAGGCACGCAGAAATCCCTGGACACACTCACACACACAAACAGTAAATTGTCAGTCACACGTGTGTCTCCTAGTGGATCATCTTGGGAAACCCTAAGAATCTTGGTTCTTCTGTTTCTTGCTTTTCTGCTGATAGGAATCAGGATCAAGAGAGACGCTCTGGTTGCAAAAGGCTCTGCCTCTCTCTCTCCCAGAACCTCCCAGGTTCCTGTTAGCTGCAAGCTCGGTCCAGATTTTGCACAAACATTTTGCTGCCCTCCTGTGGCTTTTGACGGAAAAGCAGGTTCTAGGTGAGATGGCCTAAAAGCTGGGAACAGGACGTGGGCTTCCTTGGGTCTTCTCAAATCTCCGCACATCTCCTTCTCACAGCCCCTAGTTGGTCCATTTGGCCCATTTGTTGTTGCATCCCGATGCTGTTCACTTTGCCAGCTGCTGAGAATCAGCCTCCCCCAGCATCCTGCCTCCTCCAGCATCCTGCCTCTGAGCTGCTCTCCTGAATGTCTAAGGGCAGATACCACACCAGGCACAGGTCTTGTCTGCCACACTCCTAGATAAAACTTCTAATGTGTGGCCTCAGCTCGCTCAAAGTCTCCAAGGTCCCAAACCTGTTTTCTTCCCTGGTCTCACCTCCTAGGAACTGTGACTGACTGGACATGAGAATAAAAAGTCATTATGACACCAGAGGCATTTCCTGCTCTTGCTTGTTAGTAGGGTTCATGTCACAGGGTTCTTTGATTCTGTGTGTTTGTCTATAACTAAGAGTTCATGGGAAGGTCTCATACCACAGATGCTGCTCTCCATGTTGCTGTTGTTGTTATGTGCCGTCGAGTTGCTTACAACTCATAGTGACCCTATGTACAAAAGCCCTAAACCCTGCTTTATCCTATGCCAATCGCACTGTCTCCAACACACCCATCCCAATTACCCCAGAATCAATCCACCTCATAGAGCGTCTTCCCCTCCTGCACTGTCCCTCCACCTTTCCAAGCATGATGTCCCTCTCCAAAGACCGGACCCTCCTTACAACATGTCCAAAGTATGTCAGACGAAGCCTCAGAATCCTTGCCTCCAGGGAGCAACCCGGTTTAACCCTCTCCAGGATGGATCTGCTTGTTTCCTTAGCAGTCCATGATACACTCAATACTCTTCTCCAGCACCACAGCTCAAAAACATCAATTCTCCTTCTATCCTCCTTAGTCATTGCCCAACTCTCTGATGAATAACAAGTGATTGCAAAGACCATGGCCTGTATCAGATGCACTTTAGTCTCCAGAGAGACACCATTGCTCGTCTGAACTTCGGAAAGGTCCCTAACAGCAGACTTTCCCATGGCAATACGTCTTTTCATTTCCTAGCTACTGATGCCAAGAGTGTTGACTGTGGAGCCAAGCAAACTAAAGCTGTGAACAATCTCAGTCTCTTCACCATCCATCCTGATGCTGCCAATTGGCCCAGTGGTGAGAATCTTTGTCTTCTTGACATTGAGCCTCAATCCATATTGAAGGCTGCAATCCTTGACCCTCTGCAGCAAGCGCTTCAGGTCCTCCTCAGTTTCAGCAAGCAGCGTTGTGGCATCTGCATAATGCAGATGACAATCCTCATTCCACCAATCCTCATAGAGCCCGGCCTTAAATCTCCATTATTTGTTTTTAAGGAGTTAGGGGGAATAACATTGATCCTCCTGTTAAATAAACTCTTTGTATATACAAGCTATTAGGATCCCAGGGTTGGGAGGGATCCTGAAGAGCTTGCCCCTGTGATAGGTTCCTCTGGCCAC